CTGTTCAGACAGTTGCTGCTATTCTTTTCTTCAATCTCCTGTTGAGTTCGTAGGTGTTCAGAATGGTTTGATCCCTACCCAGCTGAATTCCTGAGACCAGACGAAATCCAGGTCTCCTACTCCTCCGCCATCTTGCTCCTCCCCCTCCTGAATAAGCAATTTTGTAATTGAATGTTTCCTAGACACTAAATCTCTTTCTAGGTGCAGGGGGTAAGTGATAAACAAAAAAGAAGTTGCTAACCTCATAGAGCTGACACTCTAGTGGGAGGAGACAAATAATACGTACATAAATTGATACATACATACATATCATTTCTGAAAGTTGTAAGTCATCTTTTAAAAGAAGAGTAAAGAAAGAAGTTGCAGACAAGAGAGTTGCTATTTTATAGAGAGAGAGAGAGTTCTGAGAAGGTGAGCTCTGAGCAGATACCACATTTAACTATGGAAGAAGGAAAACATGGATATCTACGGTAAGAGCCTACCAGGCAGAGAACAGCCAGTGCAAAGGCCTTTAGATGGTGCCTGTCCAGTATTTAAGAAACTGTCAAGAGACCACTGTGGCTGTAGTGGAGACAGCAAAGAAAGAGAGTAGTAGAGGCTAAGGACAGATGGATAACAAGGGACAATATCATGTCAGGGAAACAGCTGAGACTAGGGTCTTATTTTGAGAAAAATCAGGGTTGGGGGTGGCACTGGGGGTCTTAAGAGAGATTAATATGACCTAACATATCTTTAAAGATTCACTCAAATTGCTGTGTTGTGAATAAACTGGTAGTGGGGGTGGGCATAGGTAGACACATGGAGATGAGTTCGGTTGAGAGATAAGGGTATTTTGGACCTGACAGGTAGCAGAAGTTGTGATAAATGGTCATATTCTAGAATATTCTCAAGGTAGCCCCAACAGAATTTTCAGGCACACCAAATTTGAGAGAAAAGAGGTAGTTGTCTGGGTAACTGGAAGGGTGGACTTGCCATCAACTGAGAGGTGGAAAACTGCAGATCCACTAGGTTTTGAGGAGAAGATCACGAATTTGGTATTAGACATTTTAAGTTTGCAATATCTATTAGATATCCAAGATGGAAGAAATTAAGGCATATGTTTGCTAAAGACCAGTCTATTAGAGAAGGGGACATGAGGACATCAGACAGAGAGAAGTTAAGCAGGAAGGGGCAGGATCTAATGCAAACATGGAGAAATTTTCAGAGTGGAGGACAGACAGTTGTTACAATCTGGAAGATGAGGTAAATGGGCACAGACAAGTAGGTGGGTAACCAGGTTGGCAGGAATCAGTGTAAAGTTTCTGCTAGCTGCTTCTATTTTCATAGTGAAGTAGAAAAGAAAATCTTGTTTCAGTAAATTAGTGAATCCCTTTCTACTCTCCTTCTTAAAACCTTCCATCGACTTTCCCTCACCATTGGAATAACAGCCAAACATTTTATCACAGCCCACAAGGCCGCACAGGACCTGGCTCTCACCCACTTCTCTCCATTGCCTAAAATGTTTCAGCCACAGGGGTCTTATTTTCATGCCTCAGACATGTACAAGACAAACTCAGACGAGCCTTGGGTTCTCTGACTGGGACCCTCTGTCTGGGACAAGTAAAAGAGGTACCCTACCCTCCCAAGTTTGGCTAATTCTTATCATATAGGTCTCACCTCAGGAGTCCCCTCCTCAGGCCTTTCTTGAGCATCCCATCTAAAGTGGCACCTCCTCTTATCAAAAGTTATTTTACGTACATGTTATTGTCCACTTCTTCCCACAAATGTGTTTCATGAGAAACTAGCACCCCCAGCCCACCCCTACTTTCTCGTTCTCTCTCCTCAACCTGCTGTTAACTTTTCTTCTCAATACTCATCACCACTGTATATTTGGGCATTATCCATGTCCCATAAGAGAGTAATAGCTACATCTGGCACACAGTAGGTGCTCATGAGTATTTCCTGATGATCATATTTTATAAAATTAAATGAAAAAATGCATGTAGAGCATACAACAGAGCAGTTGGCACGTAGTAAATCTCAATAAATGTTAGCTGCTACGATGATGACAACAAAGACTAGCATGGCAATAATCACAAGCACAACTATGAAAGGCAAATCCTCTGTGCCCTTGAACCCATCCCCTTTCTGTTGTCAGAGACTTTCTCTCATTAACTGTACGTCCCTTCTTCCTCTTTACAGGCTCCTTCCCTTCCACTAAATATGTGCAATATTTTACTACCATTTTTAAGAAATCAGTTAAAAATATACTTTTCTTAACACTGTCTTATCTAATTAGGCACAGCCAAGTATCATCTCAGTGTAGCCATAAAAAAGGAGTAGTCTATACTAGCTCACAGCTGGTTAAGCAAATCTTGAATGATCAAACTCATTGTTATTTACTGTTTTTTTCTATTAACTAGTTTCTTCAAGTTGAACAAAACTACTTAATATTTGCATGGTTAAAATATTAATAATTATAAAATACTATACAATGGAAGGTAAATCTATTAATCTAACTCAGTCCTCCCACTCCAAGGAAATCAGGTATATTCTGTGTATCTTTCCAGAAATTATGTATGCATATCCAGACATATAAATATCCTTTGAAATATCAAACAGGATCATATTGTGCACACAATTCCACACCTTGGGTTTCTTTCAGTTAATGAAACACTTTGAATGGCTTTCTAAAGTTCACATTAAGAGCTATATTATTCTTTGTACTGGCTACCTATCATTTCATTGTATTGATAAAATGCCATCTATTTAACTAGTCTCATATTTATTATTTATCAGCATTTAACATGTTTTCAGCCATTTGCTATTGTAAACAATGCTGCAACCCATATACATATATCCTTGCACAGTCCTTCAAATATGTGTAAATAAAATCTTAAAAGCAGAATTGCCTGCATAAAAGGCACGGGCCTTCAGTTTTTCACTGATATTGCCAAATTACCTTCTAAAATAGTTTTATTAAATCACCAGAATTTTCTACTCCTCTAAATAATAAAGTTATTAGTAACTGCAGATTTTTGGTGAGGGAAAGGGAATAATTCCTGAAGCTCCTTAAATCAACTGAGAAAGGGAATGAAATCTCTCCTAAAGAAAATGTTAACACTTTACCATGATACATATTTTAAAAAAAGAAAACAGCACTATTTCTGGGAAAGAATTATTTTCCCACTTTTGCTAATAAAAGTTCACCTCACTACTCAGAGTTTTTCCAGTCCTCAGTAATTCTTTTTCTAAAACAACCTCTTAGGAACTCACAGCCAACGGAAACAGGAGTTGAAAGGAAAAGGAAAACATAAAACTCAGTTTCTAAGGAGCACAACAAGATTCTTAAGTTTCTGAGCAGTGCAGTGACTTTAAATTCTTATCGTTAGAGATGTTTTTAATTAAAAAAAAAACTGTTAGTGGATTCTTTAAAGGTTTCAACTCTTGCTGGTGAAAAAAACAATTCTCTGCCTTATTTTTCCTACAGATTGCAAACTCTTTTAGGGTGAGGTGGAGGACGGAGTTTGTAAACGGCTGCCTGCATTGCAGGCGCTTGTAGCGGATAATAGCTGTCCCTGCTCTAGCCAGAATAGCCGCTCTCCGCCTGCATCCCGCAACCCCTCTCTGTGACTCCCTACCCGGCTCTCCTCCACATCCTTTAACCTCCCCCCTTTATCTGTGGACGCGCCGCCGGCCTCGCGCCCCCGCGCTGGGCTCAGTGGAACAATCCGTGACGTCATGAGGCCGCGGCTCAATCAGACGCGGCGTTTGGGAAATTTTAAACTTAAAGGCGGGGCGGCCCGTGCTCGAGAAGGTAGAGCGTCTGCGCCAGTTCTCCGGGGTCTAGCCTGGCAGGATGGCAGAGGAAGGGGCTGTCGCCGTCTGCGTGCGGGTCCGGCCGCTCAACAACAGGTAGGTAGGCCAGACCGAGACCAGGACCCCGCTGGGGCCTCCGGTCCGGGCCTGAGCCGGAGAGTCCCCGCTGCTCCTTCCCGGTTCCCCTGCTTGGTATCTCCGCCCCTTACCGGTTTTGTGTCCCTATCTGTAAGTGACGGAGAAGGATCGGAGGATCTAGAAGATACTTTGCATATGTAGGAGTCTCTTAAACGTTTAACTCAGGCTGGCAAACGTTAAAGACCTTGACGCCGGCCCTGCACTGCCTTTCTCCATCTGAGCCTCCCCACCCCACCCCATTCCTTAAAGGAAGTCGTATCGGATAATTCTTACAGGCCCTCATCACAGTCGGTCATTTTGCACTTAACTGCCTCTCCCTCTTCACTGTATATTCCTTGAGAGCAAGGACTAGTCTGTCTTACTGCATTGTATTCCTAGGCACTCAAGATTTCATTCAATGACTGAATTCAACATCCAGAACGTTGCATGGCTGATATTTATTAATCGTGATTTTTTTTTTTTTTTTAGTACAGTGTACAGTACTAAACAGACACTACCATCCTTGCCCCTGTCGGATCCACATTCTAGAGCAGACAGGAAATAAAGTAAAAAATATAGAATGTTAAGTTGACATACTGTTACGGAAGAAATAAATGCTATAGAGGAAAAGCAGAAAGGGGAAGAAATGAAGTCTTTGCTTCTCTAGTCTCTAGCACTCACTCCAGAATACTAATATATTTTGTGTTTGAGAAATAATTGTTAAATATCACAAGGTGTTGGGGCGCCTGGGTGGCTCAGTCGTTAAGCGTCTGCCTTCAGCTCAGGTCATGATCCCAGGGTCCTGGGATCGAGCCCCGCATCGGGCTCCCT